AATATTAAAAAATTCACTATTCATTTAAAAAACATCAGAACAAGCTCAAAAGTTTAGAATGTAGAGTATTCTCAGGATATGATTAATATTGTCCGCTAAATGTGATTAAAAGATCGAAAAGATCTAAAAGCATATTTTTGTTAATAGGTTTTCCAGAAACCCTTTTGGAAAATCTAAGCTCTCTGTAAAATTTATTTTGAGATCTCCTATGAATAGGATATAGGATAGCTTAAATACTCTACATATTCTGATGTTTTTTAAATGAATAGTGAATTTTTTAATATTAGGTGAAAACAGCCTGAAAACCCTAATTTTCGTAAAAGTGGCTTTTTGGGAGATTTTTAAAACTTTTTCTAAAAATAAATATTTCCACGCAACTCAGCATGGTCGATTATCCATAGTCCATCAGTTTTTACGGCTATCAATAGTCACCGGGTGCCAGTCCTTGGACCTGTAGAAAATTCGATACAACGCCCGAACCGTGGAAAATCAAGGTCTCACTTTACTCCCATTTTGAAGAGGACACCCTGAGCTATCAGTCATAAGAAAAAAGCAATACAATGCTATTGGAAAATTTTTACAGACGGCGTAGTTTTCCAAAGATCTCCTAGGAAACCTATTTCAAAAAACTCGTCTGAAAATGATATTGGCTATGAAAACATGCATCCAAGTCTCCTCTTTCGAATGGCGAAAGCCGCAGGTCTTCATCTTGTTCGTATCAAAAGTTATTCAAAAAACAACCGAGTGCTTGACTTCTGGAACGGATAATAGTTGTTCCTGAAAACATTAAGCTTTTTAAAATCAACACGAAAGCGAAGAAAAGCACAAGTATTTTGTGATTTTCATCACTAAATTTCAGTTTCTTTGCAAAACCAATGTCATATTTGAAATCAGTGTCGAAAACTAAGTCAGATGATGTTTGTCTCGAAATTTCTGGGTAATTTTCATTTCACGGAAAAATTATCGCGATTTTAGCTGAAAAATGAAAATTATCCAGAAAGTCTGGGTAATTATTTCGTCAAAATAGTTTTGTCGACATTCGGTATGCGCTTTTACCCAATTCTGCTTTTTGCTTATTTATTTTAAATGAAAACATGTGACTATTGTAAGCACTTATTAAGCCTACACATGAAACTTGTGTTTTGTACACGATAAACGATAGACAAATAGAAATTTTATTAGAAATAGTGATCAATTAATTATTACCACAAGAACTAGAATGATGGAATCTTGAATTATATTATTTGTTGATATGAACATCTACTTGTTCCATAACCACCTTTGTAATCACATTCCAACATATCTTCACAGAATCAGTTCTACTTGGTGATATAGGAGTTTTTCTTAATAGCTTTTTCTGTACCTTTTGGTATATTTTGTATATATAACGTTAGTGAATCAGACGCTTCATTAAATTGATGTACCCCCGAAATCTGAAATACCCCTTTAATATGCCGTTCGCTGTAAACTTGTACTATTTACCGTTGTTATTGTTGACGATGGATTTTTTTTATCCTTTGAACAGCGTTAATATGTATACTTAATGTTATAGTACACCGATAAAAATGATACGACGAAAAGACAGAGCACGTGTTTTATTATTTTTCCAGCGGGACTCTCTTACAACATCATATTTAGGAATACATAAACTGGTTTTCCAGTATATCAGGGAAAATGATTGTACCTCTCAAACTATTTGTTACCAATTGTTCTTTATGATGTCAAATTATAGCCAAGGATTTTCTTTACAAAATAAGCTATTAAAAAGTTTGCGATAGCTTGGTCAACTAACAGTGAAAAACAGAACTGAAGAAAGAAGTTGTACAGTTTCTATGTAAGCAAATTAAGTTTAAATCTTGACCAGTCTATGCCAGAGTCGGAAACGAATCGAATTGAATTCACTGTTTTGGATTCGGTTCGGATTCTGATCTATACCACTAAAATATATACTAAGTGAAAGTATACATCAAGGAACAATATATTAGGATAAGTGAGTGAAAATCAGAAGTGGTTAAACGCGTACTTTCGAAAACTTTTCGTATCGTGCAGAACCAAGAAAGGGTATTTCCATGCCAAAATATCCTTTTTGGAATCTCTGAGTAATAAATGCAGATACCCTCTTTTTTTGGCTTCGCGGAATTAGAAATACCCTTAACCGTATATTACAATGCCATTTCGGTATTTCGGTGTACCCTTTTGGTTTTGTAAGATTTGTTTGAGAGTATTTCTAATTTCATAGAACCAAAAAAAAGAGGATATCTGCATTTATTACTCACAGATTCCAAAAAGGATATCCTGGCATGGAAATACCCTTTTGTGGTTGTTTTTTTCTAAGTGGGGGTCCTCCCATCCAGATTTTTTCGCTTAGTTTGTAGAGCACACTTTGAAACCTAGGAATCAAAATTTTTTAATTTCTCGAAATAATCCGGAGTTCAAATTTTTTCAGAAAAAGATTTGGAAGTTCATTTTATGCCCACTGGCTTGTGATATATAATTTGTCTCACTCCCTCTTGGCTATCTCCTGCCCCAACTACATGGAATTAAGAACTCCTTTTTATACCATATATGTCAAATGGGTAGTACGAGTTGTACTGTAAATACCTAGGGTTCAGCTTATTTCTAAAGGAAGGATTTGAAAAATACAGTGAAATGTTCCACCCCCCTTTTTTGTCCCACGCGCAAACATATCTCTAGAATCATAATGGTTAGCGCATAAAGCCGAAAATTTTGAGAGTATATGTATTTTGACACCCTAAATCGAATGGCTCGCCCATTTTTCTGAAAATCAGCTCAGGAAAGGATTTCTAGAAAACCTAGGCTTCTACAGCCAGTATTTGTGCAGAGAAGGGCTTGGTAGTTTGAAAACAGAGTTTCTTTTATAGACTTTCGCCTATCCTCTATAAACCTACGGTGTTAAAATACTTTTCTGATCACTTTCATTTTAGGTCATTCTTTTCTTCAAAAACGGTATATATATGTGTTACTAAGCGATATACATAAAAGAACTTATTTCTATATGTAATTGTTTCTATAACGTAACTGTTGTGTAGAACAAGATGTTATTTTTCATGATAAAAATTTCTCGTTTCATTTTACTATTGTATTTAGTTTATAGTGTTCAGAAATCAGTGGTCGTCAGTTTATTCAAAAGACGAATACCGCACGCCAAATTTTACCTTCCACCCCCAATTCAACCTTTCACGGTTGCTCTAAACATTCAAAATTATACAACAACTCCTTTTAGTCATTTGATTTATTTAGTTCGTCATGGTCTCTACATTTGTAGTCCTCTATCAGACGAATATAATAAACTAAGCCAGTTCGGGCACGTGCAAGCGGGATTAATAGCATCGTCGATCAAACTTGATATTTTGAAACGAAATGATCCTCAGTATGTACCATGTTGAATTACTCTTTGGACTTAGCGTTTAACGTGGTTTTTTGAGTAATATGTCCTCCAGAGAAGAATTTATTTATAGAAAAAAGTTATTCATCGATCACTTAGAACCAATCTTTTCAAAAGAATTTTATTCATTTTTGTATTTTTTAGTCAACTATCCACACTATCAATTCGACGCTATTCATCAGACTCTATGCGTGCTATTGAAACATCTAATTCATTGTATAAACGTTTTAAATGTCATACGTGTGAGATGCATATTGACGCTAATTCGACACAGTTAACCTATCTAAGAGAAACGGATATATTTGATCTTCAAGGAATCAAAGAAAAATTTCAATTGTTTCACAATGATTTTTTAGTGCAAGGTTAGTTTAATTACCTGCTGACTATCTCAGCGACTTGCTCAATATTTAGGGACAACACCTGGTCATAAAATATCGATAATAGTTGCACATGGTAATTTAATTAGTGCCTTTCGTTACTATATCAGGTCGGGTGGTAATCTTAACTTAACATTGCCCAAAGACACTATAGGCAGAGAATATCGTCTTCCATCTCATTGTGGTACCACTGTCATTTTGGCAAAACAGGAGAAGAGGAATGAAAGGATGGTTACATCACAATTAGTTGGTGTAATTGAATTGAAACAGGCCTATCGAACGTTTATGTGTTTGCGAATCTCATACGACTTTGTACACAAAAATGGGAATTGCAGCCATATTCGTACTATGGAAAAACAACAAATTATTCAGTCATTTCTAAACGATTCCCAAGCATTGAACAAAACATTTATCAAAAGCAAATTGGAAAAAGCCTATTCTGCTGATATTAAAACGATCGGTTATGTCTGTGAAAAAATGAATGGCAACTATTTCTAGAAGATGAAATTGAACAACTGTTCTAAAGTAGAAGGGACGAGATAGACTGTTGATTTTTTTCCTACACTAACTTTAGTTACGCGCGAACATTATTTGATTTTGAGATATATTCAATAAAATATATTTGAATGAAGTTAATTTAATCAATCGTATAGCATTTTATTACACAGTTGAAATGTTTTCACGTTTTCTGCTTTCAAGCTTTGTTCCACTTAAGCACTTCTTATCAAAAAAATATTTTTCAATGGCCAACTTTGACCATGATGAACGTCTAAATAATTTCAGCCATATCAACGATGGTCCTACTAGAAATTTAAATATGATTTGTCATCCGGTTAGGGTGATAAAAATGATGATTAACATGGGGCACCCAATATTCGCAGTGATTTTAACTGTTACAGAAGTCAGGATGATTTTATTTCGTAGAGAAATATTGTTATTTTGACAGTAAACAAGCGGATTTTTGAATTTTTTGTTACTGATTAACACGAAACATGTTTCTTCAAAAACTATAAAAACTTTTCTAGATTTTTTCGATATTCTAAGGAAGAAAAAAAGCTTTTCAAACTAGAGAAGAAAAAAGGGTTGAAAAATGCTAAAATTTAAAAAAAAGACTACGACAGACATACGCCAAAATATTTTTGACCGATATTTTTTTATCCGTTAAATCTTTTGAATTGTATTATTATTTTGTTCTTACTTTTTACCATATAGTATATTCATTACTGTTTGTATTTGGTTATATGCTTTTTTATATGTATTGTCTTAATCATGTTCCCATGCAAATTAGTTTTTTTCTTTCTTCTCTCTCTTACTTTGTTGCTTCACTTTATCTCAACATCTGATGGGTTATAGGGCCGCTTTGTCGTGTAAGAACATAAGAATATAAGAAGTCAAATGAAGTTGACTTATTGAGCGTCAAAACTAAATCTGTCGTAAAACAAATTCAGGTTTTCGTAGGCATTAGCAAACGGGTTAGAAACTGAGTTTGTTCTCCTTTAGTCAATGAATACCTTTCAACGCTGATTGTCATAATACATAGTACTGTTTGTTTTAAACGCATATAAATATTAGCATGGCAAGTGCTTTTTATTCTAAAACATTGTATTCGGGAATAGTTGATTATTATATTAATTAGCAGAGTAGCCAGAATTGCTTTTACAGTTAAAAATTTCGCAAAACATTAGTCTATTGCTGTTACGAAAATAGACTACCCTTTTTTATTTTTAAATACTAAGTATACTGACGAGGGCCTCTCTCGCCGAGTGTCAATAGATGGTACAAACATGAATGAGGTTGACCCATCGGTTTGCTGAGAGGCTGCCGAGTATTTCAAACCTTAAACTACCCAGTTACATTTTCTTAAGTCTGTCTTACATATCATTTTGTAGCCCGTGAAATTCTCTATCGAATGATATATAAAGCAGAGTGGTTTCCACACTTTTTAATTCATGTCTAAGGTCAAAACCGTTTTCACACGGTTCTGAAGAATGAGGATGGTATGTGGGTCCTAGGCTGAGGATGGAAAGGCTTCGTAAACTTGTAAAGGTACTTAGTTTCATTCGCTGAACACGAATATATTGTTTTTCTCAGGAAAAAAAGTATATAGACGGAGAAAAATGCATTATTTCGAACATAAGTCATTTTTTGCCTTAGGGGTGGCATACGTTGTTGATTCACTAGAAATCTTTCCTAAAATTTTTTCTGGCCGAATGATATCTCATTCAACGCGCCATCAATCAAACAACTTTTGATGAAAAGATCTCGACGCAGACGCAAAACTAGGGTATTACTTAACCAGAAATACCATTTTTTTCGGTGTAGGCACTTTTTCGAAGTTTTGACCCCAGAAAAGTGAGATTAAATCGGAAACTCGCTATCCGATTTTTTACGTTTACTCATTCAAATAATGAAAAAGGAAACTATTCACTTCACATCATATGTATTCTGGATAAAAAGATTTCAGTCGTGCTTTTCAATTTATTTTGAATATACTAACACAGTTTAGAAATGAACCAATTGCCATTGTCATATTTTTCATTGTGCGTATGTTTTCTCTAGTGGTTTTGACGCATACAGTAAACTTTTTGTTAACGTTAACTTTTGTTTGTCCAATTCGAAACGACTTTTTTCACAATATAAACGCTCATGTCCATTTTTGCA